ACGCCGTTTGCTCCCACGTGGGGTCCGAAGGGGGGGGGGAAAACCACCCCTCGGAGCAGAATTATTAGGCGGCCCCTCCCAGCGCCGGGCTCCGAGCCCCCTCCCTCCTTCTGCTCACAAGCACTGGCTGCAAGAGTGGTTCATATTTAATAACGCAATTTATATTCCACTCTCCACATAAACTATTGTAAAGGCGCTCTAATGTAAAAATACATCTGGCTTGTCAATAGTTTATCTTCTGGATCTGCATCTAAACCCCTGGGCCTTTCTGACTTATGGCTGCACCACTGTCTAATGAATAAAAAGGTGCAAATTATAGGCCCGGCTTTAATGCTCATCATAAAATTAGACGGTAGTTGCAAAAGCTGCATTCTCCTGCCCACAGTGCAGCGGTGGTGAGCCATAAATAAAGTGTATTTAATGTATCCCAGGGCTGTGCAAACCCAGGAAACAGTGTGTTATTGCTTGGCCTTCGATGGGTCCGCCACAAGTTCAATGACGTGATAACGGATCCATCATGTGAATTTATGTTAACTGTCTCCTCGCAAAGCCATGGCCTCAACACTGTAAATAGCCTACAATCCTTCTAGCAGGCCCGCCTGCCAATGAAACTGTCAGTGCCAGGCTGGCAGCAAAGCACCTTCAGGACAGGGGAACAAGCCGTTAAGTTCCGGAGGCCAATGGGGGCCTTGCCTCCGACTCTCCCCGGCTCTGCTGCGGGTCCGCCAACGGCAGAGGGAGCGAATCTTCTCTCAAACAGCAGATCCCAGTGACGGGGGTCGGCAGAGGCCGCCTGCCAGGGGAGGGTGTGCTGGGGACTGGGACTGTGGCTGGCGGGGGAGATGGGGAGGGGCGGCGGGGGGTGGGGTGGGGGCTGGCCGTGGGACTCAGCCCGGGGTGGGGGCGGGTGCAGGGCCGGGGAGGCTGGGCTGGACACCCAGGCGCAGGGGTCCCCGCCCCTGCCTGTGCCGGCTCACCTCCAGGGCACCTTGGGCACCTGCTGGCTCCACCATGGGTCCATCGGTTCATTCGTTCGCTCACTCATCGCTATGGTCTTACTCCGCAGTTTCCAAGCGCCTGATGTCGTGTGCACCCGAGGAGGACCCACCTCCCCTTTCGGGATTCCGGACGGTGGGGGAGACGAGACTCCCAAGCCTCAGTCTACTCATACCTATTCGTATCTCATTCACAACACCTTGTCCCTTCCCCGAAGCCCAGTGGCACCAGCCCACACGCACCTCTGTTGCCAGATTGCCAAGTGGAGACCCGTGGAGAGGCCGCGAAGCCGGTCTGTGCGAACGGGCTAAGACGTTTTTCCGCGGAAAACCCACAGTCCATTACCCATTGTGCCAAGGATGCATTTGAGCACGCGGGGCCCGGGTCGCGATACAAAACCTAAACGTCGCATTGGGGGTTGCAGACCTAAACATGTGAGAAACACTGGACGGCCCCCGTCGTCTGGCCCGACGTCTCAGCGGCGGAACACTGGTATCGACGGCGAGGCCAGGGAGCGTGGAGTTCCGGGAGGGACGGTTCTTTGAACGAATGCCTGAATCCTTTCTGAACTCCTCCTCTGGGGTCAGTTTTCTAAGGCCCCCAGGCTGTTGGGACAGCGGTACATACGTGTGTGTAACATACAGATACCCGTGCTCTGGAAGCGTGTGCTAAAAGCGACCGTGTGGGGCGCCTGGGGGGGCTCCGTCGGTGAAGCGTCCGACTTCGGCTCGGGTCGTGATCTCGCGGTCTGTGGGTTCGAGCCCCGCGTCGGGCTCCGGGCAGATGGCTCGGAGCCTGGAACCCGTTTCAGATTCTGTGTCTCCCTCTCTCTCTGCCCTTCCCCCTGCTCACGCTCTGTCTCCGTCTCAGAAATAAATAAACATTTAACACAAATAAATAAATAAATAAATAAATAAGTAAATAAAAGGGACTGTGTGGGGGCGCCTGGGGGGCCTCAGTCGGTAAAGCGTCCGACTTTGGCTCAGGTCACGATCTCACGGTTCGTGGGTTCGAGCCCCGCGTCGGGCTCTGTGCTGACGGCTCAGAGCCTGGAGCCGGCTTCCGATTTGGTGTCTCCCTCTCCCTGCTCCTTCCCACTTGCACTCTGTGTGTGTGTCTCTCTCTCAAAACTAATTAAATGTTAAAAAAGAAAAATTGTCAGCGAGTGCATGGACAAGGCAGTCTGGAGGCCACAGGGACCCCGGGACTATAGCCCCTGGTAGCGGGTGTCACTGACACTCACGGTTAAAGGCGGCCTTTCCAAACTCAACTGCAGCAGTGGCCTGCTGTCCTCGGGGATGACAGCTGCAGAGGTGGGGACATCGATCTTCCGTGTCTTCAGCAACGTGCCGTTCTAGTGCCTAGGGCCGCCCCTCCCGGGTAGAAGTCCTTGAAGCTGCTCATCCACCCCCCCAGCCCCCAACAGACACCCCAGCTACCGTGGGTTCTCCTTCAGGACACAGGCGTCCCATAGTCCCCCCCACGGGGAGCTCAGAAAACAGGGCTCCTGCCTGAGGGGGCGGGGGGAACAGCCAGCCTCCCCGTGCTCTTCGCTACCGTGCAGACCCCACGCCTGGCTCTGCCCTCCCGGGGCTGGGGGCCAGGGACCCAGCCACCCACTGGAGCATGACAGCCACTAAGTGTCACAGCTGCTTGGCAGGATGTGTGGAAACACAAGGGCCGTCAAACAGGAACAAGCATCTGACCCCCCCGGGCCAGCCATGAGGCAAGCAGAGCAGCTGGGGCTCGGAAGGGTGTCCCCTGCGGGTCCCAGCCGCACGGAACCTTCCAGAAGCCAGGACTGCCGTGAGCAGAAACCTGACTTCGTACGCGCAGGTCAAAGGTTCAGCTTTGCAACCGCACCTGAACAAATGGAAGCCAGGGCTGGCTTCCTCCCAAAGATGTCCGTGTCCTAGGCCCTGGAACCTAGGGCCAGGGTAAAGACGCTACCTATAGAGTAAAAAAAAAAACCAAACAAACAAACAAACAAACAAAAAAAGGAGTCTGCAGGTGTGGTGAAATTAAGGCTCTGAATGAGGGGGATTAGCCCGGATCAACCAAAATGCAGTCACATGCATCCTTTTAAGAGGGAGGCACAGGGAGCCTTGATGGCCACAGAAGGCCACGTGAGGACAGAGCAGAGGCTGGACGAGGCTGGCTTCAGAGGCCGGGATGTAGCGGCCGAGAGAGGCCAGGCACCGATGCCCCAGAGCACCCCCGCCACCAGGAAACCCTCCTTGGTTTCACCCGCGGACTGAATCTGGCCTCCTGGCCTCCTGAACCGCGACCGAGTAAATGTCTGTTGCCTTCCGCCACTGAGTTTGTGACGGTCGCCCCAGGACACGGGGTCTAGAGTTTGCACTCCCCTTACGTCCCTAATCACTTCATCCGCGAATCGGGGGCTCCCGAGTGACATCTGCTGGGACAACGGGGGCTTGAAGCCGTGGCCTGGGTGGCAGGCCCGTGGGAAGGCACCTGGGCCCACAAATGGGGGAGCCCACCCCGACGCCCGGAGGGCCAGGGGGGCCGGCGGGGCGCTGCCTGCAGAGGCCAAGGGCGAGCCCCTCGACCTCACCTCGTGCTCCCCGTGCCTTAGCAGACCCGTCCCCCGAATCCCCGACGATCCCCGGGGTGGTGACCCCGTAAACACCAAGCAAGGCACACACGTCAACACCCCAAGGTCAACCGGCTCGGCGACCCTCTGTTCTCGGAATGCTCATCGCTGGGACCGCTTGGCCAGCCCCCCCCGCCCCGTCCTGGGTTCGGGCCCCTTCAGCGAGGGGCTGGGCCTAGGGACTGACCTCCAAGGAGCAGAGCGCAAAGCGACATTGGACGTCCCCTCCTCTCTTGCCTTCCCGCCACATGGGAGAGGGCCACGTGGCAAGGAGCCAAGGGAGGCCGCGAGCCAACATCCAGCAAGGGACTGAGGCCCTCGGTCCAACAGCCCTCGAGGAGCCGAGTCCTGCCAGTGAAGCTGGAAACGGGTCCTAGAGATAAGCCCACAGTCCCGGCCGATACCTGGGTCACAGCTCGGTGGGGGGGGGGGGGGGGGGTTCTGGGCGCAGGAAATCTGGGCTCAGTTTGGGAAATGCTGTGGTCCCGACAGCAGGCTGCTTCCCATCTGGGGACCCACAGGCTTGCCCCCCACCCCCGCCAGGACGGGGACCTTTCTTGCCCAACTCCACACCAGACACCGTAGGGCACCCACTGTGTGCCGAACGCTGGGCTCACGGGGGAACGGCATACAGTTCTTGCCCTCTCTGGGCCTGGGGTTCTCAGGTTGGGGACCGGAGGACTGGCGGGGGTGGGGGAGATGGCTGCCCCCTCCGACCAGGCTCCGGTTCTGAGAAACCCAGCGTGCGGCACTCAGGACTCACGCTCATCCCGAGGCGAGCCCCGTGGGGAAGTGACCGGGCGCGGACGCAGGCCCCGAGCGCCCCAGAAGTGCTCACGTAGAGGGCGGTCGTCCGCGGCCAGCATCTGCTCGCATTAATTGCATTTAGATTGCCTTAAGAACAGAGAGCGGAGGGGCGCCTGGGTGGCGCAGTCGGTTGAGCGTCCGACTTCGGCTCAGGTCATGATCTCGCGGTCCGGGAGTTCGAGCCCCGCGTCGGGCTCTGGGCTGATGGCTCGGAGCCCGGAGCCTGCTTCCGATTCTGTGTCTCCCTCTCTCTCTGCCCCTCCCCCGTTCATGCTCTGTCTCTCTCTGTCTCAAAAATAAATAAAACATTAAAAAAAAATCTGTAAAAAAAAAGAACAGAGCGCGGAACGGTTAAAGATTCGGGGAGCGAGGTGCTGGAACCCAGACCGAAAAACGCTGCTCTCACAGCAGGCTGGTGGCCAGTCTGCCCAGCAGCATGTGCCTCGTACGGGAGCCCAGGCCTCAGCAGGGCAAGCGCCCGGGGCAGGATCCAGCGTCCGTGAACGTGGAGAGTGGGACACCAGAGGTCGTCCGTCCTCTGAATGGTCTGCCGTTGCTGTTTCCAAAACCCCCATTGGACCAGGAGGACAAAGGGACTGTCAACGCAACACACGCCTGGGGGGCACACGCCTTGACCCGGACGCTGTGAGCGAAGCCTTGTGTATACAGAAGGTGCTCCATAAACACTCGGGGAGGAGAGCCTCCTACACGTCCTGCGATGCCTCACTCAGCACACGGCCCCCGGGGCACCCAGCACCCTTTCTCTCTCCCGGGTGGTCCCCTCTCACCACCTTGTGGCCGCAGCCACGGCCGCCTGCCCCCGGAAGGGGCCGAGCTGCCAGGACAGGTGTCAGTCTTCGCCAGGGGGGGCCCACCTGCCAGCCAGGTAGACAGCCACCTGCCTCCGGGCCAGCTGCTTTAGCCGGTGCCTGAGTTTGGGGGGGAGCGCCCCCAAAGAAGGTAGCCACGTACCTTTGAGGTCGGCAAGTCAAACTGCGCTCCCCTCCGGCTGGGGCGGCAGTGTCTCTGACGCCCCCCCCGCCCCACCCCATCCCCGTGGTCCCAAGGACTCTCTAATAATAGCAATACTAAATCCTCGTGGCCAATTCTGCTCCGTTTCTATAAATAATGTAGAATCTTTTTATTTACTGACAGGTTGTAAAAGTATCAGGGAGAATAATGTGAAATCAGGAGCTGCTGAATAATGCATGACATCAGGCTCACTCCCTCTCTCCCCTGCCCGGGCGGGGTCCCCACGGCCCCTTCCCTGCCACCTGGCGGGGGTCAGAGAACCAGCTCCCGTCCCCCGGCGCCGCCTGCCCCGCACTCCCACGCCCGTGGTTTGGAACCCGCGCGCAGGTCTTGGGCAGGGAGGGGTCCCTGGGGGGCCACAGGAGTGCAGGGTCTCTGGATTTGCACTCCTGCTCATTTGGGTATGCAAAGCAGGCCTCAGGCCCAGCCGCCTCCTCCTGCAAACAGGCATTTGCGTGGTTTGGGCCGGATTGGCCAGAGTCTCCTTCCAAGCCCCCCCCCCCCCCCGGCCACACACACACACACACGCACACGCACACACACTCCGGGCCTTCCCATTACCGTTGATGATCTCAAAGTCTCAGCAGAGGGGGGAGGGCTGGCGCAATATTCAGTGGCCAGTTCCATATTTTTTCTTGACTTTTGAGGAATTGGCATTAATTATTCAAGGTGCTGGCTTGGTTACACCATCGCTAACCGTCGGTGGCTCAGGGTGGCCAGGACGCCCAGGGTGCCTGGGTTCACTCGGGGCCGCTGCCTGCAGCGGGCTGACCCGACGGGTCCCAGGGCCACGGGCGCTGCTCCCAGGGCAAGCTCTCCGGAGCCCGGCTGCGAGGTGCGCCTGTGGGTCCAGGGTCTGCCCCTGGCCGGCAGTGACCTCTCGGCTACCGGCAAAATGGGAGGTGGGAGGGAACAGCGTTTCCTACCTGCAGGGGTCGTTCCAGAAGCCTCGCACAAGTGCCTTGCTTGTTCCTCCCCCGAACTCTCTAGAATACCTGCACTCGTGCACCTACAAGGCAGGGCCTGCTGTATCCCCCATGCCCAGGGCAATGCTTGGTACTTAGCAGGAGCTCAGTGAACTCACGCCAACAAAGCTTGGTAGGAAAGCGAGGCAGGAGAGCTGGGAAAACCGGTAAAGGCTTATCCAGGAGCCTGCGGGGACCAGAGGCGGGGGAGAGGGAACTCAGAGGGGGCACAGCCATGCCGGCAATGCCTTCTTCCCGAGGCCGGTGTGGGGATGCGGGAGCCGTTTTCTGCTTCCTCTTAATGTTTTATTTATTTTTGAGAGAGAAAGAGAGAGAGAGCGTGAGCAGGGGAGGGGCAGGGAGAGAGGGAGACACAGAATCGGAAGCAGGCTCCCGGCTGTCAGCACAGAGCCCGACGTGGGGCTCGAACCCACGAGCTGTGAGATCATGACCTGACCGAAGCTGAACTTAACTGGATGAGCCCCCCAGGCACCCCTGTTCTTTGTATTTATCCTTTGCCAAATGCTTACTGTTTTGCAGTGAGACACGGTTGAGGTCCCTGCAGCCCCTGGGGACGGAACCCCCCTTGGAGGCACAGCTTTCTGGGGCCCCTATCGGGGTGGCGGGCAGGGGCGGGGGGCTCGGATCTGGGGGGCACCCTGCTGCGCCTTCGAACCAGGCAGCTCCCTGTGAGTGTGAGGGTCGGGAGGGGAGGCTGACGCCCCTCGGGAGGGCCCCTGACTGCGCGGCACACGCAATATCCACATGCGTGTGCAGACGCACACACACGTATTTGCATGGAGCACACACATTTGTGCACACGGCACGGGCACGAGTCACACATGGCACGCGGCCACATATGCACAATTGCACACCATATTCGCCACGTATGTGTCCACACACATCTAAACACACACGCGCACGCACTCGTCCGAGCAGGACCGAGCGACAGGGAGGGATGTTGTCCCCTGGCCCGGGAACCTGCATCAGGCTGAGCGGACCGATTCGCCCTCTCAGCTACGACACCGGAGTTGCAGGCGTCTGAAACTGGTCTCTGGATCCTAGCCTACGCTCCCATTTCACAGCTGGGGACACTGAGGTCTGTGTTACCTCGATCTATTCCTGCCACAGCCCTGGGCGACAGGTATATCCCCACCCTGCAGACGCGGACGGGGACGCCACCATTTTCCCAAAGGCAGCCAGCAGTGGGGCTCAGATTGAACCCAGCCCGGCCACCTCCAAGCCCCCGCCTCCTGACCTGGGAGGGAGTGGGTTCTCACGTCTCCGCCCGGCTTCCCCCCGCGACGAAGAATGACTTTACTAACACTCCCACCCCACACACCCAGCGGGCACTTCGGCTTTTCACGTGCATTAACTCATCGAACCCTCACCACCGTCCGTGGGAGTCAGTACCACCACCACGCCCATTTTGCAGATGAGGACACTGAGGCACAGAGAGGCGACACCACTTCCTGGGGTTTGAACCGCAGCCACCTGGCTCACTCTAGAATGCCGAGGTGCATCTGCACGAGGCTCTCGCCTGGGTGGCACGCGGAATCACCCAGAAGCTTTGACCCGGAGTTTCTAAAGTAATTGGTCCATGGATGGAGCCCGGGGCCTCGGGATTTTGTAAAGCTGATTGCAGGGGGGTGGGGGGCAGCTCTCGCTCTGGAAGCCTCACGCCTCCTTCCGTGAGGGCTTCGGGGAGGGTCCCAGGGGACCGCCTGAAATAAATCAGACCTGCCGGAGGGGCTCCCTTCCCTTGTCATTTTAATCCTGAAGCACAAGGCCAGCAGGTCCCCAGAGAAGCTGGAGCGAAGACGCCCCAGATGTGAAGCTGACGGGCGTCCTTGAGTGGGGCCAGATGGCGGCTCGGCCGGCAGGTGGTGCCGCCCTCGCTGTCAGAAGCTCTGGGGAGGCCCAGGGGCTGAGTCAGAAACCTAGGCTCCCTGCCCAGAAGGTGACTTTGGAACCTCGTGAATTCGGACGTGATAGCTCCAGAAGCTGGGAGGAGGGCTCCGTTTCCAGAATTAGTCCCTCCAAGAGACGGGCCACGGGGACCACGTGCTCTGGGCGGGGACGATGCAAGGAGACACGGCCACCAGGCACCTGCTTGTGGGCTGTGGGGCGGGAGGGGAGAGCCCCACACCCACAGCAGGGGGCAGACACAAAGGAGTGTGTGTGTGTGTGTGTGTGTGTGTGTGTGTGTGTGTGTGTGTGTGCGTACGTGTGCAGAAGCAGGGGTTTGGGGCCGGCAAGCCTTGCTGGGTGGCTCTGGGTCCCACACTCTGCCTCTCTGAGCGGCTGTCTACTTCCCCGTCTGGGAAAGGGAGGAAAAGCTCTGCTCTGTCAGGGGGCAAGAGAAGGTAGGAGGACCGCGTGTGTGAGGAAGGCAAGCCTCACCCCTCCCTTTCCTCCCCACAGGACTTCACAGGGAGCCAGGGAGCCAGGGAGGGCCCCAGGGTGCTAGCTCCATACGCCCCCCTGCACCCCGCTTTAGCCAGCTGGTCCCTTCCTGGTCCCTGGCTCTCTCCCTCCCTCTCCCTGTCATCTGAAGCTCGCTGCCTCCAGGGTCACAGGCGGTAGCCCGCTTTCCAGGCATGGCCTCCTGTGGCTCCAGCCCCCTGTGGGCCTGTGACCCCCACGCAGCCCCGTTCCAGGCGGGCAGTCCCTAGACGGTGGCCCCGAGCCCTTGGGACAAGTCAGAAATGGCCCGGCCACCCCAGACTGCACACAGCCTCCCCCTTCTCAAGTCGGGGAGCGGAGAGCACCGCCAGGGCCCTGGGCCAGCTGGGTTCCTTGGCTGGCGCCTGGCGGTGGGCAGAGGGCCTCTGGCCGCGGCCGCAGGGGCGCCGGGGGCGGGGGCAGGGGGGGCGGCTCCCGCACGCAGCGGGCAGTGGGTGCTGCGGGGCTCTCGGGCAGGGAGCCGGCACCACAGGGGAGGCAGATCTGCTTTGGTCTGGAGTTCACTCGGGGGCCCGTCTGCGCTGGGGCCTGCGGCCGAATGTTTCCTCTCTTAAAACAAGATACACCCGCCCGCTCCCCCCACTGGCGCCTGAGCCTGCGCGGAAGAGGCTGGGGGAGGCTGGGGGGCTGGGGCTGAAGGCACGGGGCTGTCTGTACCCCCACCTTCTTCCCAGGGGACCCGAGGGGGGCCTCCCTGTGGACCGTGAGCTGTGAGCGAGCAGGACGGGCCGAGGCTGGGAGCAGACTGCCCGGGGCTGACAGGACGCTCTCCACAGCCCTATTAATACCTGAGAGAATGTTCCAGAGGAAGCAGGAAAAACCCCAGGGCACCTCGGAGCTCAGCGGACCGTGCTCGGGGCGGGGGTCTTGGGTCTAGTCTGGGGCGACCCCAGGTCCCGCAGGACTCCCCAAGACATCCCCTCTCTCTAGATCTATTCTGGGCTCGCTTGCTCCGGGCCAGGCTGGGAACGGGGCTGAGGCCCGGGGAGGGCGGCGCGGGGAGGGCGGCAGCGGGCCAGGAGGAAGCCGGGAGCAGGCAGGTGGTGGATGATTTCGGAGCTGTTCTGGGCAGGCCCCTGGAGAGTGTGGGCAGGGGAGGGCGGAGGTGACAGATGGAGGGAGCATTTATTAAGGGTGAGCCGAAAGATGCAAAGGGTTTTCTGGGGAGCCCTGGTGAGAATGGAGCGTTGGAGCCGCTGCGGTGAGGGCTGGGCATGGCGCCCGGCCAGAAGCCGGAGCCGCAGGCCTGGGCACCGGCCACGGGAGGGTGTCTCCGGCTGGTGCACATGCCAGCCTGTGTCCAGCACGGCCGGGCCTGCCCGCCCAGAGACGCTCCTTTGCATTCCTCCTGCTCCGCCCTAGGGCAGACTGGACCCGCGCGCTGGCCTCAGTCTGTCCACCCGTGAGATGGGGAGACTCATGCCAACCTTCTCACATGGAAGAGCCTGCTGCTCGGGAGGGACGTCATAATCTCAGTCTCTTCTTTCCTTTCCTTCGTAACGCGCTCCATAGCCAACACTCTCCTCAAGTCCTGGCTGCCCAGGCTTAGAT